GCGCAATGCGAACGCAAGAGCTTTTGGTCTATATAGAGCCGCGGGGGTGCTCTTCTCTCTCTCTTTCTCTCTCTCTCTCTCTCTCTTTCTCTCTTTCTCTTTCTCTCTTCTCTATTTCTATATTTCTCTCTCTCTCTCTCGCTCTCTCTTTGTGGCTGTCCTCCGTTTCCCTCCTCAGGGGAGATGATGTCCCCCATCTTCTCGCGTTAGCTTATACGTTTTCCGACGCCCTACGTTCTCCGCCTCGGCGTAGTCCTGCGTCTTTACGTCTTTGTGAATTTTTCCTTCGTGTCGTCGACCACTTCTTGAAATCCTTCTTTACAAACGTAAACGTTGTTTGGATGTAGAAAATCGCGATAAAGAAATCGCGGATGTTCAACGGTGCACCATTTCATTCTGTTTCCGCAAAGAAAAAATAGAGCTATCTCATCTGGAGGGGGCAAATTTGTAGAGAGCATTTCTCATTCTAGTATATTTTCCTGCAAAACAGCAGTGATATTAATCGCATTATTATTATACTTTATTATTAGCTAATTTTCATGCATAAAATGAAACTACTTCCATTTCTCTGATTACTCTAGTGGACTAATTTCATTTGTATAGGTAAATTGGTTTAATATATTTTCACGTCAATATATTCTCATTCTAAACCTCATCTCTAATTGTTCTTTATAATGCTTTTCTTCACTTGGAATACTTCTTCTTTTTCAAAAAAATGTTATGAATTTTTCTTGTATATAAATTCGTTTCTTTCTTGATATTTTTTATTCAAAAGATTCAGAGACTGACCTTTTAAATCAATTATTTGCAATATTTATGAATGATTCACATGAATCATTTATATCGCATATAATATGATTGCTTCTTCATAAATATTTTCTGCATCTATATTTAATATATAAGTACATATCTCTAGATTTTAAATTGCAGAAGTACTTGAATTTACGGCTTTCATTAACTTTTAAATGCTATCGCCGATTATCGGAGGATGCGTATCAGAACAGATATTTTCTTGTTTTCTGGCATCGAAGCTTATTGAGCATCTCCGTGATTTCTGTCGACAGGAACTACCCATGCAGGAAGGAGTTCTCTTTGTCCCAGAGAATTCGCAGCTGTTGTGCTATGAATTTTTCCACAGATACGTCTCGCCGTCCTTTTCCCAATTCATCTTCATCGACAAGCCCATCATTCGAGAGATGCGAGAAGTCTGAGTGGCATCTCATTATTTGCGTGAAATAGGCGTCAAATTTTTAACGCGCTTTAATTTAAATGCATCGGAAATTGTTCAAAAAATTTTCCATTGATTTTGATAGAAGTATATTTAATTGAAAGCACTTTCGCAAAGTTTGCTTACAATTAAAAAGAATGTAAATCAAAAATGGAATTAGAAAATTAAATATGCGTTCGAAATCTCGATTTTACAAAAATTCGTCTTTTACCTGAGTGGAATTTTCTAACAGCGGATAATAACTTCTTTTTCAAATGAATACGCTTTACTGGAACTAAAAACATTGCACTTGACATAGATACACTCCAAGTCTTTGTGTAATATTTTTGCATCATCTTGAATAAAAAAAAGTCTCATCATTATATCATAAAATTATCTCTTTTGGAGACAATTTTAGAAACTATAATGACGAGACTCTTTTTTTTATTCGGATGATGCAAAAATGTTACACAAAGACATGGAGTATATCTGTGTCAAGTGCAGTGTTTTTAGTTGCGCCAAAGCATATTCATTTGAAAGAAAAACTATTATCCGCTGCTAGAAAATTCCGTCCAGGTAAAAGATGAATTTTTGGGTGGGTGGCCGGCGTGAGATAGTTGTATGCGGGGGAGGGTGGGACGGTGGGCTACACGGTGGGTGGTGACGGAGGGGGAGGGAAAATGCTCCGTGGTTCTGCGACCCACTGACCCGCTCGATAACGCTTCCACCGGGGTCGCTGACCTTCCTCACGCGCGAAATTCGCGTTGGTACGACCCTCTTGGCGTTGCCGCGTTTCTCGGCTCGAGTCAAAGATCATCCCGTCGCGCGAGGAGAATCTCGATCGCGGGCGCATCTCGATACATGCCGTGGTACCGATTGTCGTAGCCGATCGATGTACGATGACGGTGAAACGGAAGTGCGCAGGCCGACGAAAACGGAGCTTGACCGATTGTCAATCTGGAATGCTGGAATTGCTTTTCGATTGGTCGATTCGGCGCTCGAGGATTTGGCGGAATTTATTGCGCGGCCGTGTGTACACGTTAAACGGAGACGGGAAACCGCGATGATTGGAAAAAGTGTTGCTTGCAGCCGAAGAACAAAATCACGCCGGCTTTTGACGATGCAGCAACAAATGAATAAGAGTAATTGCAACAAAATTCGTAAATGCGCTACGTATGTATTTTACTTGCAACGTATTGATGTCAACCCTTCAATATCCGCACTATCATTTTGTCACGAGTGCAACACACTGTGTATGTCATACTCAACCTATACAATACGAATTAGGTACTTGCAAGTTTTTTCATCGTCATTGTTTCGACTTTACCATTCATGAATTTTTAATGAATTTTATTTTATATATCTTATTCCTCGTTAATTTTTAATCTGTTGAATGACGTTGAATTGCTTACGATTTTCATAAAAATGAACGATATTGTAACAAATATTTTTTCAATCAAATTGTGAAACAAATATATGTATTTTTATTAGTAAAAAACAGTTATAAGCAATAAAGTAAACAGAAAGATTTTTTGAAAAAAATCAAAAGCCGGATATATTATAATAAGAGTGACATTGAAGGATTAAAGCAATCGATCGGATTACTGATCTTTATCGATGATTCAAGACCGAGATTTGAAGTATGTTGCGAGTTATTCTTGAGTTACACTCTACTAGTTGGCAGGAGTCGATTTAAAAGAATATCATGATATTTCCGCTTTCGATAACGAATGTCTAATATCATTTAGTGACTACATAAATCAGGCAATGGTTCATATTCTCAATCCTAGGCTCCACGATGTTACAATCTTTTTCATATAGATTATCAAGGAAGAGAAAGTAGAGAACGACGAGGTACGATAATTGCATTAAGTATTGGTATCAGTAAAGATACCATTTAATTTATCGTGGTTTAAAGGCACACAAATGTAATAAGACCTGCAACTTTCTCTTTTCTCTTTTAAGTATAAGAATTATCATAAGTTTTAGCTTTTTTTGTGTCCTCATTGCAGCTTCCACATTTATCTCATCTTTGCTATTTGATACTTTTGTTCCACGGGTTAGTACTTTGATTCTTTTATCTTTTGTATGCGCATTAATAAACGTGACGAGAGCGTAAAAGTGTTAAACGAGAAATTAAGAATCGCGTGGTAACCCAGTTTGTGCAATTGAGTGAGGCGCAACAGCTCTGTCGTAGTATTTTTCTGCGTGCTGTAATATCGCGTTTCAAGGATTGCGACAAGCGAGACACTCACGCATAGCAGTATTGATTTCGAGACCCGTTGGCAGTGCTGCCACGATTTCGCGTCTCTGGAACTAAACTCTGAATGAGAGATATCGCAAAAACGATGATGTGCCCAAATTTAACTTGGAACGGAAAATGATTTCTTTCCTGTTTCGGGAAAGAGCCTTGCGGAAATAATTTCTTCTTGATAATAATTTCCTCTTAATTGTCTCTACAAATTCTTTTCACAATCAAGTTTGAACAATTTAGCTCTTATATATTCAAAGAAAATTGCGAAATGTGTACTTGCAAGTTTTTTTTCCCAATAATACTTTAAACAATTCACATATTTTCTTATTTTCTACATAAACTCTGAATTCATTTGTGAATTTATACCATCTATGAATTTTCAGTGAATTTTATTTTATGCATCTTATTCTGCATTAATTAATTTTGAATCTGTCAGATGAATGACTGTTGATCCAATTTATCTACATATCGCCGTCCGAAAGAGCTCTCAAAATTGGTATTTCTCTTTAAAAACGTATATTAATGCACCATTAAGCCGACTGGCTATAAATTGCTGCATCAGTTATTACATCCGATGATCTCTATTACAGAATCAATGTGTTATTAACTTACTCGTTCCTTGTAAATGAAACGAAAGTGATCGCGTTTATTTGGCTAATTAAGTAATTTACAGCCCCTGCAAAATATATGAAACTACGTTTGAAATATCCACACAGAGATATTTATATCCTGCGTTTTACGTCAGCTTCGTTTTACTCTTAGATTTTGAGAATTTTTTATAGATGATTATTAAGCAATTAATGACACCTCTCTAATTATATGATGAATCGATATATTCCGGCTAAATATATAAGCTTGAAATACACAAATATACTGGCTCTATTTATATAAGTCACTTGCTAAAACACCAAGCGAACGGTCTGCAAGTATCGGAGATCGTAAAACATGTAACCGCCTTGAAGTATCTCAAAGCTATTTTAAGTCGCCCGAAGGCTTCCAGAGACTCTTTAATGATAAGCAATGCACTTGAGATATCGGTGTTCCACGTGGTGTGATGATTTTCGGTTAAACGAATGATCCGGATGTTTATGTTTATCTCTTAAGTTGATAAAATGCAGAACGGATTTTATCGTACATATACATTAAATATTTTCGAAAGAAAATTATACAATATATTCTTATAGAAATCTAATTTAATACTGGCCAATTTAATACCGAAAGACAGTGACCGATTGTTAAAGTTCTGAAAGTATTTAGTACTTAAAGCAACAGTGCTTTTAATATTTACTCAAAATGAATAATTAATTACTAAGCCCAGTATTTTATTTTTGTAAGAATATCCCCTCATTATATTCCGTCATACGTATTGTTCATTATACCATCAATTATGAAATTAAAAAAGTGCCTTCCATCAAGTTAAATACTTAAAGACATTTTGTTGTCAAAAATCTTAAATATTATTTCGTACAAAATAAAGATGTTAATGTATATCTTACAGTCAAGGGCCTTACGAATTTGTATTTGTCAGAATGTACTTACTTCGCATTCTTTGGTAGCATGCCATTAGCTGGACCGGAATACGTAGGAGTGAGACAGAGGGGTGGGTTATTCGAATTCTGTGGAACTAGAGGCTGCCTCGCGTGCGCTGGCGATGTGTGCGAGCCATAGCCATCGGAATTCAGCTGAAATCACCATAGAGTAAATTTAAATATTTCCAATAAAACTTCTATCAGAATTATTACGTACTTCGAAATTATGTTATGAACACAATTACACTTTACATCATTACAATCTAATTTTATTTTGTGAGTACGGATGTTCAAAAACCAATACAATTCTTTTTCATCATGGATTCTTTAGCCAATTGAGCATTTGCTAATATTGGGATATATTTAAATATTATATCCCAATATTTTTGTTAGGAGAAGACTATTTTTGAATATTAACCAAAAAAGTTCTGATTAAACAGATGTGTAGATTATGCACTGAAAGAAAAGTGTTTGGTATTGTAACTATAATTATATGGTAAAATAATTATAGTTAATTATAGTTAAGTTTCATTTTTATATAGTTATTACTGCTGTAATGTTAGTAGTAATAATTATATTTATAGTTTTACTAAAAAAATATATAATAGTTGATCGAAAGTGATTATAAATTATATTCGTATTATAATAATAACCATTTTTTTCTCAATGTGGGACACAACATTCTATGTATATAATTTATTGAAAAGGCTTAAAGGCTTAAAGGCTTGTTTTCATTAAAACCAATCGGCATACTTTTCTTTTTCTTTCTTATAAAAAAAAAAGAAATCAGTATGTCAATCGACTTCAGTGGAAATTATTATACTTGATTAACTTTATACTTGATTACTCACCTTGACAACGGTACCAATCAAAGAATCGGGTGGCATTTCTGGAGGTTCAGGTATCACACCTGGATTTGTATGCGCCGGATAATCGTTGTGCAGATTAGCCTCCTTAACAGGAGTACCACCGTCAAGTCGTTCCATGTCCAGGCTATCAGTTGGTGTCGGCTGGGAGAGCAAACGCTCTTTCATCTCATGTAAGTATGGACACCGTTGCATCTCTTCAGACTCTTCTGTTTTGTCTCTTTGACGATCTGCGGAAAAGTAAAATTATATCAGAAATATGTGTGAAAAAATTATTTATTAAATATCTAATATATTCAAATATAGAATAAGCTATCGCAAAACTGCTCAAATTTTACAAAAGACAATTAAATTTTTATATTTTTTGTTTCGTTATGAAAAATACCTTTATTGATTTTCATTTCTTCTCATAAATTTTAGAGAAAATATATTAAATTTCCAATTTTTATGGCTGACCGTATACATAAGTCCTGAATGAAACTTACGGGAGACATGTTATTGATCGTAAAAAATTTAAATAAACATGATTTAATAAAAATATGTGCAGCACAGTACCAGCAATTTTATTTATACAAATAAGAATTGAATCTTGTTCCGCATCTCAATTTATACAATACGAATGACATACTTGGAAGTTTTTTATATAACAAAATTGAATTTACACAATTCATCTTATCTTCGTAATTTCGATTTTATCCATAAATTTTTAATAAAATTTTATTTTGTGCATCTTATTTTGCATTAAGTCGGAATTTGATTGCTTATAACTTTTATAAAAATGAACATACTGTAACTAATTTTTCTTTAATCAAAAATAGGAACAATAACAAATAGGAACAATGATATCAAAGAAATGCATGTATCTTTATTAGTAAAAAAATTATAAACAATAAAGTAAATAGAAGTTTTGGAAGACTATTTAAAAAAAAAGTCTGGTACTGACAGTGACATCAAAAGATCAAGACAATTGAATTCGCTGGATTTGTTGGACGTTTGTTTGATTTTATTGAAGCGTACGCGCGATCCTTTGAATCTTTAACTTTCAACTATCGAAAGAAATAAAACTTTCGTAAATCGTTCTGATTTACGAAAGTTTTGAAAAATAACTTTTTATTTTCGAAACAGATAATCTATTTCGGAAGTGTTCAAATTTCAATTAAATTTATTCTAAAGTTTAGAGAGTACAAATTTCATATTATAAAAGCTCATGCGTATTATCGTTATTTTGTTTACATGTCATTAATCGCTTTAGACTTTGATGTAATTTTATCTGGACAATGATATGAAACATGGAACACTCGTGGTATACATTGCGTCAATGATCGTTATAGGTCAGATAAATAACTTTTTTTAAGAGAGCTGATTGACATTTATCCTTTAATCGAGAAATTTAACATTTATTTATTTCTGTAATGTTATTATTATTGTGATATATTAAGTTAGTATTATCATGACATTCTTTCTTCATTAACATATACCCCACATTTACAAATATAAAATACTATATCATTTCAAATTCACGTTTGAAAGATTTTAAGCCTACACATATTATCTTATTGATTTATTTCACCGAACCTTTTCACTAAACTTACTTAAAGCCACGGTACCCATAATGCACACTTTAATATGTGTGGTTATTATTTTAAGAGAAAAGGTCCTCGAAGGAGAACTTGCTTTCGCGCAAGAACTCGATGAAAAAGAGTTTGCAGTGCTGAGCAGAAGCCAACAACGACAGTGCAAACGCGATCGGATTGGTACTGTTTCAGAAGGAAGCTCCAGCCGTTAACTCACTTCTTAGCTCTCTCTCCATAATAGAGTTTGCCAAACATGGAGCTGCGATTGGCGCGCTAGAGTATTCGCCTGGTCACGTGCATACATCTTTCCACGTGATGCTTACCGAAGAACTGGATGAGCGAGATAGAAAACTAACAGACACCTCGAAGAGATATTTTTGCAGACTTACAATACTTATGTAACAGACTGCGTATTTATATGCAACAGCTGAAGACACTGTTCAGAAGAATGTCATAGGTTTATGTGACACAGAGAACACATAAACAATGGTGAACAGACCACACAAATGTTCTTCTAATATTGTTTGCAGTCACATATAAAAATGAAGAGTCTATTACATAAATTCATGACTTGAAGAACTCGTAACGTCTAACGCGATCCTATTAAATTTTAAATTCTGCAAAAATGATTCATTCTCACTTTGAATTTGCCATTTGAATTTGAACTTACGAATCCGAGCTCAACGCACTGTATGCATATACAATTTATATCTCAGGTACACCTTAGAACATATTGGAAGTACCAGTCAAACTGAATACCATAGCAAAAGTGTCACCGACATCTGACCTTGTTCGTTTGAAATCTGTCTATGCGCTTGCGCTAGATAATAATCATATATTTGCTTAACTTTATCTTATCTCTCTATAAACTTTTATTTGCGATACATATCTTTGTAATATTATAGAATTTTAAAATTGTCAGATTTGTATAGACGCACATCACACTAAACAAATAAACAAGGACAAATAGAGGGTTTTCCAAAAACATGGACGAAGATAAGAAAATGGTGAAACATACCGATATTTTAAAAGTAATCTTTTAGTATGGACGCAGAAAAACCATCATTTCCAGGTGCATAAAAGTGGGAGGAGTGATGAAAATTTTAAATGGCACTAGAGGTCAAGTGAGAGTTTATTTGCAAGGTCTTTTTATGACGATAAAAACTCTGATAATTTTAAATCGCTACGAAGGACCCAATTTAAAACGCCGATCACAAAAAGTGAAAATTTCATGCAATCGTATTAAATCATTACTCCTTTCGCATCTGGGAGTGATGATTGATCAGCACTTACGCCAAAAAGTAGTTTTTTTTTTAATATCGGAATTCACCGATTTTCGATATTTTTGTTTTTACAAAAATTATATTACGGGCTTTCCAAACTTTTGAGAAATCCTATATGTTAAATTGGAAATAGTGCTGACACATAAACGCGTTCCTGATTAAATTTTCTATCCACGTAATTTTTTTATGTATAATCATTCTATCTATTTTAATTTTATTAATTTATTAAGTTAAACGTTTATTCGATTTTTATAAAATTATTATTTATGCAAAATTGCATTAATCTCAATATTGACTCACTTTGAATTAATTTATTTAAATTGAACAGGTTTGTATTAGGTGTTGGAATTAATTCGTAGCGTTTTTTAATGAAAGAATGTTATTTATTTCACATGAGCATTAAAAAATACATTAATGAAAGTACTTCCCATCACTTGTAAAACGCTACGAATTAATTCCAACACCTAATACATTTAAAGTGAAACATGAAAGAAATATGTCGCTTTGTTGCGGTACAGCACTGGAAGGGCGGTGGGTGTTAGGGAACGGTTACTGACCTATCTCTTCTCACGTTACAGTCTATCTTTGTGAGAACAAGGCAACCACGTAAAATAGTGCGGTAGTAATAGGGAGACGTGATATCTTATGATGCGTATCTGATAGGAAATTTTAATTTTAACAATTATCTAATAAAAAATTAAATATATTAACCGTATTTTTATTTTTATTTATTTAGAAAATAATTTATTTATTTAGAAAATAATTTTAATATTTTAAAGATTATTTTTCAGATTCATCAAATTTACAGAATTATAGTATCCATATTCGTAATATCTAAATTTTACCTCATATTACGTTTGAATAGTCGGATCACCAGACGTTGATAATTAATATCCATCAGTTACAAGCCGGACTTTATGTTATGTCTAGCTCAAGTGACAGCGTGTAATTGACGATACGTGCGGAACAAGTCCAAGGCTCGAGAATTCGATAACTGACCTAACTGAACGCACATTCAGGTGACGTCGCGACATCACGATGTCTACTGCAAGCTTATTTCGTCGTGCAAGCTCTTTTCTCCCTCTCTTACTATTTTTACCCATCATCGACTATACACACACACATATACACACACACACATACACATACACACACCATATACACATATACACACAGGCATGTACACACACACAAACATATATATTTAGAAACCTGCACTTCGCCAAGAACGACAGTTTTAATTACGAATATCCATTCGCGACTCAATCTTGTCTTCATTTTTCTTTCGTCCCTTTCTTTCTCCAAAGCACGAATTTCTTTTTTCTTTCCGCGTGTACACACGTGCACATCGACCAACACGAAATTATTTCCATTCACATCTACTTTACCACAACGAGGTTTCTAGGCGATGTTCACATGAGAGGATTCTGAAGATTCAGCATTGATAGTGAGCAATGTGGTTGAATGATCAATCACAGAAATACGTGGATAATGGATTTAAGAATACCTCAAGTGCAATTCTCAGGTTGTTACTGAAACTTATGGTCCAGTATGGTGCAATAATTTCGAGGCGATTACGTGTTCACGAACGAAATTTGTTCAATTGCTAAAATCGCTATTAAATTATCGATCAAAATTATAACTTTCATTTTTCGTACGTAATTTATATAAATTATAAATTGTAAATATATTTAGATGACAAATGTGACAAATTTAAAAAAAATGACCGCGTTTAGCAGAATGTTTATTCTGCAATTGTTGGAAGTTTCCTTCGTACTGATTGGATTATACTTTTAGAAGAATAATCTCAGCAAAGAAAACTTCCAACAATTGCAAAATATATATTCTGTTCACGCCAATGTTTCTAGCGGTACGCATTTTTCCGAACGCATCCGCCTTTTGATTTGACGAATTTTATCACTGATGCAGTTCGCTCACTGTGATTTAATAGGATTATTCTATTTGAATTTTTTTACGTCACGTCACGTCACGTCACACGCAGTTATAATTGACTGAAATCAGACTAGAGTAAAAGCCTTCCTATTGACATGGTACGGAAGAAAGCTTTTCGATCAATCGTTCAACGAGACACGCGAAATTGAAAGATGTCCTTTCAGAATTTTTTTACTCTCTAACATCAAAATTCTTTTCTAAAGAATTTGCATTATATATCATATATTTAATGTACTTAAGAACACGAAATCTCATTGTGTGTATATAAAAATATAAAGTATAGCAATGCAATATTACAATGTTGTGCTACAAAATTCGCACATCATAACATATCCAGACAATAATTTCGCTTTATTTCCGCATCCACATTTGATAAAATCTAAACATGTAGAAGTTTCCTGTAGGAGGTTGAATCTAAGGAGAGCGACCTATTTCATACAAAGGAAGTACCGAAGAATATCGGAGTTCGGAAATAAGGTTCCGAACTTGAAAGCTTCTGATATCAAGACGTCGAGCGTTTAAACTGATACGTAGCGTCGAGCCTGGTCTTTGAGCTTTGTAACGAAGTGATAAGTTTGAAAGTCTAAGTTTCTGCCAGTTGATTACTTTATCCTTGTGCCTTCTGGTGCAAGGACGGTCGTTAATAAATTGCAAATCACTTTAAGGTCCTTTCGCTTCGCCAGGGATTAAACAAAATCACTCAGTAGTCACAGCTAACTTTTAGCTACTCGTAGATGCACTTGATTCAAAATTAAAAGTCAATATTCATTAATATAAGAGTGCAAAAGTTACTTTAAAAGATCCACCACATGTCAGAGAGATTCAATGAATAAAGAGATGATATTCACGAGAATAATATAAGTACGAATACTATGAAGCTATACTTCAGAAACAAAAAAAATTAAAGTCGATCGATAAATACTTGGATTCACAGATCTTCCTACTATTAAATATAAAAATAGTATATCGAACATCACGTATATTAATTTTTATAAATCGACTTCTAACATCAAAATCAACGTGATGGAAATGTATTAAATTAATTATAGTAATGAAGTATTGATATAGTATTGATAAGTCTGACGTATAATGTTCCAACTCTCAGACAGTCAGATATAATTCACTGAATTATTAGTATATTTCGATTGAAGAAAATAACTTCAAGTCGCGGTCGCTATTTATTATTAATTAGCCATTATTGCATCTTTATCCAATACTTTTTATAGAATAAATTTCTCTCAACATAACTTTTATATTATTTGCTCTTCTGAAAGTAACAGTGAGTCTCCTACTCGATATTCTTTATGTTACACATCTGCTTTGAATTATTGTTATTAAAAGAAATTTAATATTCATCCACGCACATTCTTTTTCCTACGATTTTTTTATGTCATTTTAGTTCCTTAAAATTAATAAAATTAGTGCCTTTTAGTCAACATAAATTAAATGGATCTCATAGACCCAGCTTAGTAATTGTGTCACAGATTTTGACATCGGAGGATCAAAGATCAATAGTCATGTGTTAATTGAATAATTATGAGAGTGACAAAAGGCGATGGTCATTAATGTTATCGTTGAGCAGTATTGTGACAGCGCATTCATCTCACTATCATAATTAATTACTCCAGATAGGTTTGATCACAAATTGGCTCACTATATCAGCGAAATTCCACCGGCGCATTCGGGCGATGTCGACGCGCGTGGCCGGAAGTCAGCGAGCTTACATGCGGGGTAGCTCACGATGGCGAAGGTACTCGCGGCGACAGTGCGACTCTCGCGGGGTGAGAGACAATCGAATCGCACACATGTACAAAGGTCGCGGGGGCGAGGTTATTGCTTTCGCCGGGGTGAACCGCGCGCGCGAGCGAGCGGGCGTCA